TTGCGCTCAAATCCTTTTCCTTTTTGTTCAAATCATGTTTCAGATAAAATAAACAATGGGATTATGGAGGAGTATAATCTCACTTCTTCAAATAATTATAGGGAGCAAGCATTACAGCTTAACGTAATTGATCGTGACAAATTGTTATTTTCTGTTTTCTCATTACTACAAAGTCTGGTAGCTGATGAGAGACCTGAGGTATATTGTACTCTTTGTGGTGACTAATGCGCATAGTTTTATTTCCACCAACATTGTTTATTTCTTTGACAATATTGCTCTTTTCCATCATCTCTGGTGGATCCAAAAATTCACCATTTTTTGGCTTTGGGGTGTGATGGAATAAATCAAAATGGATCTCTAAACTGTCTGCGCTTCTTTAATTAATGAAGTAGCAGTTAGTCAAGCAATACAACTTTCGACGTTGAGCCGGGGGTCTCTTTGGAAACAGCCTCTCTACTTTCGAGTAGGGGTAAGGTCTGCGTACACACACCCTCCCCAGACCCTACTCTTGTGGGATTTAACTGGGTTGTTGTTGTTGTTGTTTGACAATATTGCTCTCTTTTAGATGCTATTCATTCCCTGAAAAGTAGCACATAGAAAAATTTTATAAACACTTGGAGTATTTAGTTTTAGTATCATAAGTTAAATGCCCATCTTTGTTTTGATTCCCATTAGACTTTCACTAAATGTTGCTGTGCAAATTTGAGTGTATATATACTTCGGAAAATGTAAAAATATGTATTATATATGTATGTATTTTAGCTGCAAAGAATCACAAGGATTTGATGTCATGCACTCATGCATGAGTTATCATAGATTGACATAAAAGATAGTCTTTAATGACATGCAATCTTCTTCATTCAAACAGATGAAATACAAAGCTTATCTTTGTAGGGAATGATTAGAGTGATAATGCCCAAAAAGGCTTTCAAACCATCAAATATAAACTTCCTCATTCCCCCGTCCTAGTCGTACTTTTACCCTTCTTTGAAAGACTCTTTGAGATAGAGTGTGATAAATCCGGCGTGGGAGTTTGTGACTTATTGTCTCAAGAAGGCCATATAATAGCCTTTTCAGTGATAAGTTGAATGAGACTAAGATGAGTTCTATGCTCTTGTCTAATCCTATTGATTGGTGACACTACCTAATTGGGGTTTGGAAGGAGTTCATATTGCAAGATGATCATGAAGCATTAAAATACCTCAAAATGCCTTCAAGGCCAACACAAACTTCATTATTATCATGCTAAATGGGTGGAATACTTGCAAACTTTCACTTTGTCTATCAAACACAAAAGTGGAGAGTCTAAACGAATTAACAAATGCCTTGTCCCGGAATTATTTTTCATGACTACTTCAAAAAGAAAAATAATTGGTATCAAGTTTTTGCAGGAATTGTACCAGGAGAATTCTGATTTCAAGGACATCTCCGAGAAATTTTCGACGCGCCCCTATAGAGATTTCTTAATCAAAGATGGATTTTTATTTGAAGGAAACATACTATGCATTCCATGGTGCAATGTTCGAGAAATTCACATTGATGAAGTTCAAAGAGGAGCACTTGCCTGACACTATTGTGAGGAGAAGACGTGTGATTTAGCTAGAGAGAACTACTACGGGCCGAAACTTGAGATATGGAACACTTTATCAAGAGAAGTAACACTTTCCAACTAGCCAATAAAACCATACATGTGCTCAGGACTCTTTCCTTTCCTGCCCATACCTCTAATTCCTTGGAATATGTTTGGCATGATTTCATTACCAGGCTACCACACACTCAAACTGCAGACCTCTCTTTCAAAGAAGTGGTTCGTTTACATGTCATTCTGAGGAGCATGGTTTCTCATCGGGACAACGAGTTTCTTCATCATTTAATTTGCTAACATTGGGGATTTGTATAAATAAGAAACTAAAATTCAACCGTTTTTTCCACCCCAAACTGATGGACATATTGAAATGATGTACAAGACCTTCGATACCTTTTTTCAGATCGATACACTGGACAACCAACAGGCAGACCCCAAACCATGTGATAAACTGGCAGTTTCCAAACTGTAGAAATAACAAATGGGTAGGCTCTGATGCCATGTTAATTGGTCATTTGCGTCTAATTTTACCACAACTGGATGCTTTAGAGAATGTGGTTTGCCAAATTCTATCAACTAGACTATGGTCCCAGTACCCAACCGTGTGGGATACTTAACATAGATAATTTGCTACTACGAAATCTAGTATGACGTCACCTTTTGGCCTTTTCATGTTTTTTGTTATACCTACATACACATGTGTGTGTGTGTGATATCTAGTTAGATGATTGTGTAAACTGCTTGGCGTGCAGAAAACAAAAGTTTTAATCTTCTTTATTCTTTAACATTTAATTGAATATTTCTCATTGATCTACCTAAATTGACTCTAGGTACGTAATTCTGCTGTCCGGACACTCTTTCAAATACTTGGAAGCCATGGGCAAAAACTTTCAAATAGGATGTGGGAGAATTGTCTGTGCAATTATGTTTTTCCTACACTTGATTGTGCTTCTCACATGGTAGGTTACAGTGAATCAGATATTATCCATTGCATGTCAGAATTTCAAAGTTTCTTGTTTCTCACTTACCTGTCTGAGTCTAATCAATAGGCGGCTACCTCATCAAAAGCTGAATGGCAAGGAAAAGAGCTTGGAACACGTGGAGGAAAAGCGGTTCATATGCTCATACACCATAGGTATGAGAAATTCGAAACGCTTCATCTTGACAGTACTTTACGTTGTCATAATCATGGTTCCCACCTTAATCCCAACTCCCAACTGTTTTGGTTGGTGTTGATGGTGTGAAAATTTGTGTCCTTCAATGGGCTCAAATTAGTAAACACAAAAAGCCAGTGGAGAAATATTACGTCAGATGGGCTTTTATGGAAATATGAGATGTAACTCTATAACCATAATCAACGTAGGCTTTTCCAATGTGCATCGAATATATCTTGAGACTCAGTAAGCTGTGATAGCTGTTCCACTGTTTTTAAATTTTTTAATGCAATTATTTGAACCTGCAGCCGGAATACTGCTCAGAAACAATGGGATGAGACACTAGTTCTTGTGTTGGGTGGAATTGCACGCGTTTTAAGAACCTTTTTCCCATTACTCAGAAATTTAAGTAATTTTCAATCAGGTAAATTTGCTATTCTTTTAATCTTTATGCTTTTTAAACTCAAATTGTACTTTGAGTTTCACTTTCTTGGATAATGAATGATGTTGTGGCACTTATAGGATGGGACTCTTTACTGTGCCTCGTTGAGAACAGCATCTTGCATGGTAGTAAAGAAGTTGCCCTTGCAGCAATAAATTGCTTGCATTCCACCATAGTTTCACAGTCTCCTAAGGTAATAACTACTGGCCTTTCTGAGGACGAGGAGTGCTCAAAGGGTCATTGCACCACACTTTCTTATGAATAGATGGTACCTATTTATTTAAAGAATAGCTGTTTCCTTAATGAATAGGTTTCAAATGATTAGTGATATACATTACTTTAGAGTTTTTTTAGCTTTATGATTTTGTTTAGTAACATCTTGATAAAACAGGGAAATTTGCCACTTCCATACCTTATATCTGTCCTTGATATTTACGAGCTTGTTCTTTCGAAGTTGCCAAACTACAGCAATAGTGCAACCAGCAAAGTGATACAAGAAATCTTACTTAGTCTTGGTATGTCTATTCATTGGTCTAAACGGATATATAGATTGTCCAAGGAGCTTTTGCAAGTGAAGGATGCATAATTCTTCGGTTTTTGGCAGGTGATCTATATGTTCAAGCGCAGAAAATGTTTGACAGCTTCATGTATTTAAAGCTGCTAAAAGTTCTAGATGTGGGGATCAAACAAACCAAGATTGCAAATAGCAACTTTGAAGCTGATTATGTATGTAATTGCATTCCGGCTAGGTTGTCTTCACCAAAAAAGCTTGCACAATTACTGCACATTCAAGTCTTCTTGTTGATTATAGGCCTAATAGCTCAAGACAGATTCTTGTTTCTATTAGCTGAGTTGGTTTAGTATTTGATGAAGTGAAGAAACTAGTGTTAGATTTAATCGTATTGTTTGATTCCTGGTCAGAAGTTAGTTAGTTTATATTTAATTTTTAAAAATAAAAGGGACAGTTATGGGTAGTTATTTCTGGAGGTTATAGGTAGTTATTTCTGGAAGTTGTATTGGTTAGTAATAGATGTGTTGATTAGTGCCAATAGTTGTGTTGGTTGCTGGCTATAAATATTCCAGGAACATAGCATTCCTGTATGCAATTCACAATAAAAAAATCACAAGTCTAATGTGCATGTGATCTGTTCTTCGTATCAATTTTTTAACATTTGGTATCAGAGCGTGTGCGATTAGCGACAGGAAAAGGGAGATTTTTCAAATCAAAATCTTCCTTGGCAACAGATCAAAATCTTCGACAAGATTCTTCCTCGCCTAGGACAAGAATAGCAAGTGGCTATTTTTTCCTTTGGCAGAAGCATTCCAACCAAATAGTCCGGGAAAAACGAATCAGCGGGGTATCCTTCGTTTAGTGGCTTGGAAGACGGAAAAGCAGGGGCTTGTCTTCTGGTTGATGGTCGATTGCAGGTGGCTTACGACCCAGGAAGGAATCAAAGTCTAAGAATTTTGTGAAAATTGTCATAGGAATTAAAGTCGTGCAATGGAAGACAATAGACAGATTGTGACTACAAGGGAGAATAGTTCACTATCTTTTACGGTTCCAATTCTTACTGCTACAAACTACACTATTTGGGCCGTGAAGATTAAAGCAATTCTTAATGTTAATGGGATTTGGGAGGTGATTGAACCAGGAACAGAAATCGATCCAAAGAAGAACAATATGACAATAGCATATTTGTTTCAAGCTTTTCCGGAAGAGATTGTGCTACAAGTTGCTCAGTTTGCTGAAGCAAAGGAAATTTGGGATGCTTTGAAGACTCGCTTCGTTGGTTTTGACAGGGTTAAAGCGGCGCGATTACAGACACTTGAATCAGATTTTGAGACTCTAAAGATGAAGAACAATGAGTCACTTGATGATTTTGCTGGTAAAATTAGTCAACTTGCAACACAAGCAAACAACCTTGGGTCTGCATTTGAAGATAAAAGATTGGTTTGAAAGCTTTTGGGTTCTGTACCTGAAAAGTTCATACAGATCGTTGCTGCAATTGAACAGTTTGCTGACATTAAACACAATGCCGTTTCAAGAAGCGGTTGGAAGATTGAAAGCATTCGAGGAACGCATCAAAAAGCCAACTGAGGAAGGAGATACACATGGTAAACTACTCTTCACTAAAGGTGATGGAAAAGAGAAGGTTCAGGAGCACAAATGTGAGCATTGTGGTTGCTGGAGCTTAAACCGAGAAGACTTTGGACGTGGCCGAGGTAGAGGTCGGGGGTCCGGGAAAGGTTAGGATGGTGGTCGGTTTAAGCGGGATAAGAGTCACATTAGGTGCTTCAAGTGCAATGAGTTAAGTCATTTTTTGAACGAATGTCCAAAATGGGATCATAAGGAAGACATTGCAAATCTGATTGAAGATGATGATGAACCGACATTATTGTGAAGATTGGTGTGAACAAACAACAATTAGGGGGGTGATTGTTAGATTTAATCGTATTGTTTGATTCCTGGTAAGAAGTTAGTTTATATTTAATTTTTAAAAATAAAAGGGACAGTTATGGGTAGTTATTTCTGAAGGTTATAGGTAGTTATTTCTGGAAGTTGTATTGGTTAGTAATAGATGTGTTGATTAGTGCCAATAGTTGTGTTGGTTGCTGTCTATAAATATTCCAGGAACATAGCATTCCTGTATGCAATTCACAATAAAAAAATCACAAGTCTAATGTGCATGTGATCTGTTCTTCGTATCAATTTTTTAACAACTAGAAGCTGAAAAAATTCTTAAAAGCTTCTAGCGATGGGTTCTGAATGATTTATGCATTGTGCAGTATGTTATATCTAATGTGAATATCTTTGCATTAATTGTTATCTGATGATCTGTTGTTTTTTATTTAGGGCCATCTTCCACCATTGCAGCGCACTATACTTGAGATTCTACCAATCGTATGCCCAGCTAATCATATTGCTACAATGTGGCCCCCTTTCCTTGGGAAACTAATGGAGTATCTTCCAGGATGTGATTCTTCCATTGGCGAAATTGATGATGGAGATGAAGGAAACAGTAATAGTTTTATGTGCTTGTAATCGTGATTTTTTTATCTATACATCTGTGAAAATATTTTTTGGGTTATGTTTTGTGCAGCTTCCGATAGTGTTGATGTTCCTTGTAGAATTGCTTCAAATGCTCCAAAAAAATCAAAAAATTTATCACCTGCAGGGCCAAGTGTCCCAACACATATGTTCTCCGAGAAACTTATTCCTGTACTAGCAGATCTTTGCGTGCAAGCTCCAGCTGCAGTGAAGTATGACGTTTTCCCTGACATTATTCATGTTTTAGGAAGGTAAGAATCGATTAGAAGTGCTTTTGTTCCGGCTCCCAAATTTCAATTTAAGCTCCTGATAATACCAGGAGATGATACACACAAAATTTAGGATGTGGTCATTTGGTCAAATGAGTTGGTTCATCACTCGGTCTTCACTGTGAAACATAAAATTATATAGAAAATGGAAGCATAAAAATATTACTATCTCTGTTGGTGTTTGCATGAGACCCTATTCTCATGGGATCCATCTGCCATGTTGTTGTTTTATCTATGTTTGTGGTAGATTTGTCTCTGTATGCAATGGGGCATTAGGTTTTGAGATATCAATCCCCTTGAGATGAAGCCTGAAGGGTTCAAAAAAGCATCTAAACATGGCTCAAGAGTGTCAAGTCTTGTACTCTCCTAGATGAAAACAAAAGTGTAGATGAAAAAAACTGATACTAGGGGACAGATAAACCCTACATTTGCCAAGATAATATCATCTAAATTCTTTTTGTAGTATAGAGTACTGCAAAATTAGAATAAAATACTGTCCCGTAAAAAACATCCTTCTTTGACTTCTACGGAATTAAAGAAAAATGTTGAAAAGTGAAAACTTTATAGTTAGAATTTGTTTAGAGAGGATTGTTTTACTGTGGCTGTTAGCTATCCAGATTCCAGATGCAACATCGATAATAGCTTCTTGATGTTTATGTGTTAGCAACAGTAGAGTAGGCGAGGATTGAACTGGTGGAGGCAACACAGTTGTTGAGGGAGAACAAGGTGCACACAATAGTTTAGCCAAAGTTTTTCAAAAATCCCAAAACACAGTGGCCATTCTATAGATACAGCATTTATTTCTTCTTCCTCATTAATGGAGGGTATGGCTGCACCTCCTTACCCGTGGGACTTGAATGCTGTTTCCTTAAATGCCACACTCTCCTCAAGTGGAGGACTTGACCGAGCCTGTTATTAACCATACTACAAATCAAGAGAAAAGGGAAAATACACATGCAAGCAAGAGAAAAGAGAGATAGTGGAGTTGTTGCTAGCTTGTTCGCGGGAGGGGAAACTTCAGCTGGGTCTAATGACTCTTATCACAAAAATCAGCAAAGATTTCAACATTTCAAGAAGACACATTTACAACTGTGGTCAACTACTAAAAGTAGTGTCCATTCAGGGCTGCCACTAAACTTGGCGAGCAAACAGATTGGGACAGTAGGGAGCATAGTTGTGAAAAGAGCGCCTGAGGCGCGATGCGCATGAACCGCCAGGAGTAGTGCATCGCCAACCTTGATGCACGCGCTGTTCGTGAGGCACACGCCTTACTGTGCCTCGTCGCAATATGCGCAGTGTATTGATGCGGGCGCCTTGTCAACATATGTTTTTTATTTTTATTTTTTTATTAATTAGGTTTAGGAATTAGAGCTAATATTTATTACGACTAACCCCTCCCAACTTTTACCATCCCAATGAGATTAAACGGCATACCTACTGGGAAAATTAAAAGGTTGTTTTCTCTTTCTTTTATTTATTCGATTCAAGTACGACACTTCCTCTCCAGTCTCGCAAGTCCTTCTCCAACCGGCACACCTACTGGGCAAGTAGCAGAAGAAGGTTAAGTCGGCTCTCTTCCTTCTTACGATATTTTTCTCTCTCTCGCTGGTTTCTCTTCTTTCTACTGGGCAAGTCCTCTGTTTTTCATTAGTTTTTTTTATAAACACATTGTTCTCTGTTTTTTTTGTATTATTCTGTTTTTTAAACATTTGTTTCTTAACCTTTATTATGCTTTTCAAAATTCTCTCTCTCTCTCTCTCTATATATATATATATATACATACATACATACATACATACATACATACATACATACATACATACATACATACATACATACATACATATATACATACATACATATATATATATATATATATACCAGTTTGTTTGGGGTACCTACGGTGCTCCGTTTGTAAAAAATGACAGTTCCTACC